AATGTCCTCACTGCTGTATTAGGAAGTTGCTCATGAAAGTTTGTTCATTACCTCACTTCGTTATTCATTTCAAAGTCTTCTGTTGTTGTATACTCCAGGTAGCAATGATATTTACTTGCATAAAATGAATGATAATAACTCCTTGGTTCCTATGGTGAGCTTGAGTTTGTGCATACTGCGTATTCTTTTGGTTATATAGAGAAATCTGAAGTCTTTCTTTCCTTCCTGTAAAAATGTTTGTTCTTATCTTTAGGTTCTCAGCTATATCCTTCGCTGATGATATAACTAAGGAGAAAATCTCTGCTTTGCTGTAGACCTGGAGGCAATCCTGAGTCTTATTTTTGGAGAGCTCACATTCTTATTTCACATGAACAGAAACAATAGCCAATCTTATATACAATAGCACACTCTAGTGTGTATATTAATTAACCATTATCGGCTGATTCACATAATGTTTACCTTGGGTTTTTCGGTGATTTATTTTCTGTTGTATTCAGTAGCACTATTTTTTCTCTATACTTGGGTGAATTGGAGGAAATGTATATCTTTAAATGAGAAGTTACCAGTTTCTTAACAGAATCATTGATACTAAATGTTACTTATTATTTTTTAAAATGATACTTTGGAAAAAAAAAACAAACTCATTTTTGTGGAGAGGAAAATGCTGAGGTGATGGAAGAATTGAGTCTAAAATGAGGAGTCTTAATGATTTAATTGTATACGGCAAAGCTGTAAGATGGATTTGAAATTGCTCTTCTACTTTAGATGTTTACAGGGAATTTCAGTTTGCTTTTTTGCACTGGGACAGAAATTAGAAGGAAAGAGTACATAATTTTCTAAGATGTTGGCTCAGATTTGCAGCTAATTCTGAAGATACCACAGCCTTACAGAGGATAAGCAGACAGCAACAACTCCGATAACTGGCTTGCATGTTATATATAGTAATTTAAGACTTAACAGGTTTGACTGAAACATTTGTACAGTTAAAACCTGAGTGCTTCATGTTAACTTAACATTTTATTGGCCTGTTTTTCCTGACCTTTTTTTTAAAGAGGGTTTATGAAAAAGTAAAGTAAAATGTGAAAAAGCTTATAATATCAGTTGACTCCAAAATACAGGATTTTATTTCATGTTTCATATTTGATTATATATGGAAGTGGTCAAAAATTTGGGATCGTTTCCTAAATTTATTTTATTTCTGTTATAATTTTTTCCCCACCTATAGATGTGATCTCGTAGTGCTTCTTTGCAGTACTGGCTTTTGCTCTATATGTATATTACTGCTCTGATCTTTTTAATGTTATAAATTGTAATTATTGATAGCCTAATAAAAAAGGAGGAAGAATTAAATTAAATTTCTTTTACTCTGATCACAAGAGGAAAATCAGTGAAGAACAAAATATTTGTGGAGAAAATGTCATAAATTCAATAGGTATGATATAAGTTAATTTCTTCAGTTATTTTTAAAACTTTGGGGTTTTTTGGTGTTAGTTATGCCAGCTATAGCAATAGGATTGTGAAGTTATTGTGGTGCTTACTGTTGTGGACTGATTATTATTAAAAGATACTTTGATATGTAGCCATTTGCTTCCTTTTCAGGTGGCTGTGTTTGTTGGCCCTAATTGCAATTTCAAGTCTCCTTTTTTGATGCTGGTTTTTATATGTGTTAGGAGCACTGATACTAAATATTTTTTCTAACTTTTGATAATGAGAAGAATTGCAGTTGCTTTGAATTAGAGGAGAAGAAAGTGAGACAGCAGGTTCCTTTTCTTCCATTCTTGTAAATGTTTTCATTTATTGCTGTTACAATATGTGTGACGTTCAGGCATGCCAGAGTGGAAGGATAGTAGGGAATCTGTGCATAGTCTGTGGGTGGCATGCACTTTTCCCCAACATTTCAAGACAGTCTGCCTCGTAAAAACGTTAGTAGAAAAATATATCAACTTAAGGGTAAGTAAATATAATGAAATAAAATAAGTTTGAGGTCTTTATTCCTTCTTCTTCCCCCATCAGATCTCACAAATCCTCTTACCGTGGGTCTTACGTAGTACTCTGTTAAGAGGTGTTACCCTTATGCTTCCCAGTATGCGCAAACATGTGCTCTGCATTTCTGTCAAGATGTTGGATGTTAACAAAGAACTCTTTTTAAACTGTTTATACTAACAGTGGTTCACTTAAACTGAAATGATTTAGGAAGCAATTCAGCTAAAAGATCTAAAAGAAGTGCTAATGCAATTGGCAGGCTGTGACAAGCAATGGGGTGGCGGGCGGTCAGTAACCTTTCCTGCTGTCACAGCTGCTTCAGAAGGCTTCTCTGCCCAGCGGTGTCCTTGGGAATCACACCTCTTGGAGCTCACCAGGCATTTAGATGCATCTACCTCTACAGTGGTTTGATTCACAGGAGCCTAACAAAAGATAAGGAGAGTCTGGAGTCACTTGGATTTTAGATTGTAAGAAAACTTTCTAAGTGGAATGGAATCCCATTTTCTTATCTTTATAATTCAAATTTTATTTGATATATTTCTGAAGGCCCATACATTTGGTAGCATTAAAGCATGTATTCTTATTCATAAATTGTTTGCAATGGCATGCTTCCTCACATAAGAGTCACAAAATGTAAAAAAAATGAAATATTGATAACGACTGAACAATGAAATGCATGTTACTTTCATACTGTGTCCACACAGAATTCCTCAAGCTCTCTGGAATGATTGTCAAGATTTTGATCACCAAATAAAATAAAACCCTCTGTCTTCCAAGTTAATGTTCAATTATTGTCAGCATTCTGATGTGAAGATTCTGTCTATCACAAGGCACAAGGGAATGGAGTGAAAGTCTTCTAAAGATGATTTTACTTAAATTTCAAACTTCTCAACTCAATTTTGATTCTTTTCTTAAAAGTATTCATTAATTAAACAAAGGGAACAACACTGTTCTTTAAAAACCTCTCTGAAGTCATGCAAACCATGCAGGAAAATTCTACAAGAGCCAGAAAACACAGAATTATTCCCTCTGATAGGAAATCTGAATATTATATTTTACCATTTAGAACTTTTCATAGACCTTCCTTTTTCTTTTTTTGCAAGCAGAGTAATAATTTGAAGAGTAGTTATGTCAATTCATTAAACTCATTTTCCTATGGAAAGTATACATTTTATTGAGGATTTGTGAAGAACTGACATGAGCATTGTTCATCAACTGAGTATGCTGCTGTTCTTGAAATGTTTATGTTCATAGCCAAATCATGAAACTCAGGAATTTTGATGTATCTTCATTGTTAGACAGTAAATCAATGCATACACTTCCAACGTGTGTGACTTTAGATCTTCTCCTTATTGCATATTACAAGGACCAAGCACACATTCCTTTAAGTATCTGTAAGATTTTGACACAGTATTTTACAGACTTTTAGGGAAAAGGCCAGCCATCCTCAAAGAAATTGAAGTGCACCCTTACAAGTTAGAAGAAATAAATTTGCAGGCCTGCTCTCTTAGCTGAAAAATATTGCAGATAGAAACAGAAAAAAGGTTCTGTAGTGTTCATCAGACTGGATGAAGACCTTACTTGGAGGGAGCATTGCAATGCGACCTTAAAATTTTCATCTGTGTGCTTGTAATAATGCCCTTTTATTCTCTCTTGTAGAAATTGATTACTAGGCCTGACCAAAAACAAAACTAATGCCTTACTATTAGTTCTTTACTAATGACTCTTTTCCTTTACTTTAGGAAGAATTGTAATAAAATGAGTACTCTAAAATGTGTTGAATGGAATCTTCATGTTGGTAGTTATACCATCAAGTTGATCTTGATGCTTCAACTTGTGTTATCAGTTTGATTTTAGCATTTGACTTTGAACAAGTCACTAGTTCTGAAAAACTTGAGAGATTTATTGTAAGAGGACAAACTGCTTTTTTTTGCTTTGTATGTTGATTTGCCTAGTAATGCTAGTGAGAGGCAGTCTGCTTGTACACTGTAATATGTTCCTTCCTTGGTAAACACAAATATGTCTCATTGTTGTGTTCAAGGTAGTTCTGACAGATCTTAGATGGAAATCTTACCATTTTAACTCTTCTCATTTAAAGGCTTTTCTCAACACAGGATGCTTCCTCTTCAATTTTGGTTTTGTTGGCTTATTTTATTTTATTTTTTTCCAGCTAGAATAATTAATGACCATAAACTTCCTCTTTCTGTATAATTTTTTTTTTCATATTTGTGAATCCAGGGTAAGGTACTATAGTAATTATTTTTTTCTAATTTTTCCCCCCATGTTCACTTTTTACAGGGAACATACTTATTAATAATTTTTGAAGTCCTGGAATTAAGCACTGGATCATATTTTTCCCCCTTATACCAATTCTATAGTTCTGTACTGTAAAAATATTTCTAGCTGAGCACTTTTTTTTTTTTTTTTTTACATATATAACATCTCAGTTTAACTATTTTGTGATATCAGTGGTACCTATGCATCACAATGTGATTAAACTGAGGTACGCAGATATTGTACATTGTTATCTGATGTAGTAGTTTATTTACACTTCATATTTAAAATTGTTGTCAGGTGCCTATGTTGTATATAATCTTTCTGTTTTTCTTCAGGAAAAGCATAAACAGGAGTTAGAAGACATGAGAAAATCTGGACATGAAGCTTTGAGTATTATTGTTGAAGAATTCACGGTAAATGAGTTGCCAAGATAAAACAATTTCCAAATGATATTATTGTAATAGTATATAATAAGTATACCCTACAGTCTTCTCTAGTACTGCTTGTTCTGGTTGTTCAACCTCTTTCACTTTAAGACTCTCTTTTCTATTGCTTCCAGTTTAGAATGTTTGACCTGAAATTTTGCATGACATGTTTTCTCACTCTTCATTTTGAGCAACTTCACATAAAATAGATTAGCCATTTTCAGTAATGAAACTTAAAACCAGAACAAACCAAAAATGCTTAGTCAATTGTGGTAAACTTTAGGTTTGATTATTTATCACATATCAATATTTTGGACCTCCGCAGTCTCAACAAACTGCACTTGAAGGAGAGCGGCATTACAGAGCAATTCAGTAGGTTTCTATCTACACAGCACTAAAAGAAGGAGTTACGGATGAAATAGGGCTGAATCTGTGATTCTTGTCTCCTGTTGTTCCCAGTTCCTCTCACCTGGTAAAATGAAAGAAGTGAATGATACCAGGGCATATAAATCTGTGTCTCTTGTACTGTTCTGACAACTTTCTAGTAAGAAATGCACAGAGGAAAAAACTGAATCAAGCTAGAAAGGAGTAGGCAATGCTAATAATTCTGGTTAGGCTTAAAGAGGTAAAGTAGATCTGTCATGGTGAAAAAAACAACTGATAATGGGAAATGGAGAAGCAGGCTGGTTTTGAGAATGAGAAAGGAAACGTGAGGCCTGGTAGGCATCTGTGAGCTGGGAACAGAAATCAGACAATGTAGTTAGTGAAGGGGAAATTAAAATTGTAGGCATGATCTGGCATAGAGAGCAAGAAGGCCCAACTTCAGAATGGTTTAAACTTGCTGGAAGCAGGGATGGCAGAGATGGAAGGGGGTGAGATAAGAAATGTCACAGCATTGTCTTGTAACAATCCATGTGGCAGTGCGAGTGCTTAGGGGCCACTTTTGGTAAACAAAGCTGACACTGAGGGGTGAACTGAATGCTGGGCTAAGGTGCCCCATGCTTATGCTCACTTGATTAGTGCTGGTGCAAGTGTGTATAAGGAATTGTCTCATGTTGCATCTTTGCAAACTGCTTTGTACAGCTGCTTATGGAGGTAGGAATGTCCAGTCTATTGTTCATTAAATCTTTTTATGTTTAAGCACAAACATGTTTAATTTGCATCAAGGAGGACAAAAATTCTCCAACATTAGTTAGGGTTGTAATGGAACTGGCAGGGTAAAAAGGATAGGATTGAGACTGAGTCTTGTGATTCAGGTAATAAGCTGAAACCTGTGGCCAAGAAGCCTGCAATACTTTGTTAGGGAGTGTAGGAAAGTTTGTTTTCAGCAAATATCCAAAACTTGCTTGCAATGTATGTTTCTTTCTGGTGGTGTCAGGATCTACAGCTCAAGAAGAGTCATCTGTGCTAGATTCCAAGTCTGCTGCAAAATTTGGGATCATAATGTTATGCAATTTTTTTTAATTATTTTTTTATTTTTGATTAGGTTCTATGGGGCTTGTAGACTCTGTTCCTCACATGTAAGGCAGGCCTTCCAAGAGTGAGAGAGCACCACTCTGTAGGGGACTTGATGCTTTTAGGACTCTCTGCTTGAAGGCAGCCTATGTCATAGGCTGCAGAAAAGTATTAAGTAATTCTAGTCATCATATGTGTTTGCAACAACTCATAGTAAGAAAACCTTTCAATAATCCTGGTAATAACTGTTACTAGTGTTCTAGCTAATACTGAAATTGGATGATCTGTAGAAATATGTCTGTCTCCATCAATAAAACTTATACTAGTTTCATTTAAAAGGAACTTACCAGAAAAAAGTTTCAAAACTTTCAATTCCTGAGAAAAGTTAAGCGTGGCCACTGATGATGTCCCATTTCTCTGTACCTCCCTCGTTTCACTTCTGGAGAAGAATTATTGTGTTTCTTTTCCCTTACTTCTTTGAGGACTACTTTGCAATAAACGTTCTCAAATGGGAATTTTATTTAGACTGTCATACTTTGGATGGGCCACTGAACATGTTAGATATCAGTATTTTTCATTTTTGTTTTGTGCTAGATGTGTATAATATATCTGTCTGTTTCTATATGAACTTATATTTGAAAAAAAACAGTGAGCTATTGGTAATTGCTGTGCTTATGTTTCCTCCTCTTTATTTCAGAAAATATAAACAAGTTGTGAAATGCAGCAATTTTATAGTATTGAATGAAAGTTCTGCATGTTTTCTAGATATAATTTTTTACCATTTTAATGCCTTTGTGTGAGCTAAAAGAGAGTTTTGCATGGATTATATTGTCCCTTTCAAGGAATAATTCCTTCATGTATAGCTGGGTTAAGGAATATACTCATGTGCCATATTGATTTTGAAAACTACTTTACCAGTTATCAGCAACTGGGAAGATCTGATACACTATCTGGAAAATAATATTTATGTTTATCAGTTTCTATGTTTTGGCACAAAAGATTAGGGGATTTAACTGAATATTGTGTTTCTAAGTAATATTTATATTTAGCATATTATTTCTCATACACTGTTTATACTCAAGTTATATAAAAACATGATTTAATACCAGGGAACCATGGCATGAATATACTTCATACAAGTCTTCCTGTTGCCTCGAGTGGTTAGTTGCCATATTTTGGTTAATGAGATCACAGTACTCTGAGGAGGAACAACATCAGATATGCCAGCCTCCAAATAAAATACTGCAACTAGCCTTGTCTGGAAACGTGCAGCAAGCTACTATTCAAGGTAGCAGGAAAAATCCAAAAATTTTATAGTTTTAAAAAAAATATATATTTTTTGGTTGTTTGTTTATAGCTCAAATACCTTTTTAGTAACCCTTTAACATGTACTTTTAAAAAAAAAAAAAAGGAATAACAGTGAATCATCAGAGAATACAGTGAAAGCAAAACTGTTCTGTAGTTTTGCTTGAGAAAATAATCTCACAGATTCTTTTAAAATGTTGGTTCATGGTTAATATTTCAACATGGAAGAGTTAAGATTTTTTTTTTCATAAGTAAATGAGTCAAATGTGGTTTTGTAATTATAAAAGTAATATTTTACATTTTGGGGACTACTGATGTCTTTAGGAATTTATTATATTTATCAGACATGTTGGCAGTTAGTAGCTGGATAAACAGATAAGGAGTTCTACATACAGCGTTTGTTTAAGAATGTAAAGTAAATCTGAATATTCCTTTTATTGAACTACAGAATTGTGGAATTTACTGACTTTTTAAATTCACTTATGATTAGCCACGCTTAATCTTGTGCTGAAATATGTCTTCTTTAGGATTTAAGACTGTGTTACACTTATGCATATGATTTATATGCAGAGGTGATTTCCATTTTCAGTAGATTTTGTAAGTACTATCTATTTAATCCCCAAATTACGTTGAGTGTAGAAATTCACCTAAGCAAGTCTACTGAATTGTTTAAAAGGCATAGGAAGGAAATTTTTTCTTACAATTTATACAGTCTTATTTTTGCATTCCTTGGGGTTTTAATAAAACAAATTGATGCAGATTACTCCAATCAAGTGCTTGTTCATGGCCCAAATTAGATTCTCTTGTAGTAAGGACTGTTGAAATGATGACTAATGCTCTCTGATACCAGCCAATTATAATTTTGTAATGCCACTCCAAGCAGAGCTGTACCATGAGTAAATGTAATACCCAACATTGATTGTTTAAGGAAGGCTGAGTGAAAATATGAACCATTCATCATTAGCCCCAGAAAATATTCCCTGGAATCCCTGAAAACTAAAATCCTCTAAATCAGATATTGAAACTCTGGGTTTAACAATGATGGAAAGAGTTGACTACTTGCCTTTTCTGTATTCCGACATAGATAAGTCTTCCTACCAGTAGCTTTGTGAAAGTGCATTTCTTTTGGAGTAAAAAGGAAAAGACAGTTGCCTTTTTTTTTTTTTTTTTTCCACTTCTGCCTACAAGATTGCCAAGTTAGTAACCAAAAGCTCACATTTTTCTTATGTTTAGAGCTAATTATTACACTGCAGCAGACTTGTATCTTTCTATGCTTGAAAATGAGTTGCACTTTCTGATAATCGCTCTGCTGTATTTTGGGGAATTATTTGTTGTAAAGGGGACAATATTTCTCCACGTTGATCTTTCATTACTACGTTATCCTTAGGCAGACCAGGCACTCAAGTTTAAGACGAAACCCTCTCAATTCCTACCCTTGTTATGACTGGTCCTTTTTAATATGGCAACAGTGTTGAAAATGGAGCTTAAGAAGTCAAATACTGAATGATCTAATTTCAAGGACCTGAATATACCAAAGCCCATAGAGTTATTGCAGTTGTCTTTGGAATATTAGCTTGCCAAATGTGCTGGGAAAGCCATTAACAGAGACCATTAGACACTTTGTAGCACAAAGCCTCAGAAACCTTGGCCATTGTTAAGCATCTCACATTCTTATCTTCCTTTCAACAAATAAACCATCTACAACACAGTCACAAAATTTGTATTAAAAAACATGGGAAAACAAATTAAAAATGAACTTGGTGTTCTGTGTAGGCCAAGTTTCCCATTCTCATGTTTACCTAATTTTGTTTAATTTCTGTCTTTCATGTCATTATTTTTTTAAACTTTTAGCCCTGGTAATTAACTACAGTAAAGAAAAGAAAATGTAGATCTTGGAAATTATGCTTGTAGCATCATGTCACATTTTAAGATATTTACCACAAACAACATGAGGATTTTTCCTCTGCTTGTTTAATCAAGCTTTTGTTCTGAAATTGTCATAGTTCTGTAAACAGATGAGTTAAGGTTTTAAATGTTTTGTTTCTATTTCTCACCACATAAAATATCATCTAATGTGAACTTTAAAGAATATGAGGTTACAGGCAGGCGTATTTATTTACTTATTTTATGCAATTATTAGTCTTCTAAAAGACAGCTTGCATGAATCAGATGTGTGTTTCCTTTTATGGAAATTAACTTCAAGATGCTAAGTCATTTCCAACGCTTTC